AAAATCCTTGAAAAAAAAAAAAAAAAAAAAAAATCATAATAATACCTACATACATACAATTCTTGTATTTGACATTTCTGTCACTTCTGAAATGATGGTTACGCCCCTGGTGTGACAAAATGTTAGCCTATACATAATACTTTCTTTTTTTTTTTAAATCTTGGCTTACATACATTTCTATATATGCCATGTCATGCCATAGCATCATTAAACTAGCATCTAACAATGGACAAAAGTATTTGTAGTTTTCTGTAACCTATGGTTCTCTAACCGTAAAGGCTGTTGTGTAATTTGCCCCCTGACTAAGCATTTAAAGAATTTAGGGGAAGCATTTAAATAATCCTGTGAATGCACTTAAAGAATGCAGAATCGAATCATTAATCGAATCAAATTTAATTTAATTGTGAATCGAATTGAATCGTTCTGAATTTGCAAAAATTGTTCTTGAATGGAATCGAAAACCTACAGTATGAATCATGAATCGAATCGATTCGCTGTCTACCCAAAGATTCACAGCCCTAGTAAGAACTGTGCCTCTTGGTACTGGGGATTGTTTATGAATCATGATTTTCTGACATAGTGGTTGACAGCAACATTCTGCTCCCATTCTTTTGTCCAAACATGCTGTCAAGTCATGTCAGCAATTATTGCCATTTTAATTTATTGTCAACCATATGTTTACAGTAAATCAGTGAACAACATTGTGTTTCTCTTACAGATCCTGGCTCATATTTGATATAAATATATTTCAAATTTAAGACTATAACCTCAGTACACACAGGACATTTTCGAACATCGTAAAGTACACAGTATAAAACACTCATATATATATATATATATATATCAGTGATGTTGGACAGTGTAGCGAATCAGCTCATGGGGAAATATGAATAATTAATCATAACTAGTTATAATTAATTATAAATATTTAGATCCGCTGTAGATATTTACTTGACCTCTCAGGGTCAAGCTGATGACCGGGCTATACATGTGGTCAAACTATTACTCAAAGCACTGATGGTTCACGGGTTTGGTCACTATGACAAAACTGAAATAAAATAAGATGAAATCAAAAAAAGAAAAGGAAGAAGGAAGATTTTACCTATTTAAGTTTTTTCCTCTAAGAGATATGGCTAAGCAGGTGTCACTTGCGGGTGATTCTGTAATAGACTCATAAACCCAGGGTTAGACTGTTAGCTAAACTAGCAGGGACACACCAAATACCTCATCAAAAGAAAAAATAAAAAGAAACAGTGGGAATTGTTCCTAGTTCTATCTTGGCCTACGTTGTGTTGAACAGTAGCTGCCCTTCAATGTATTAGGCCTGGCACTGAGGAGTGAGGAGAAGTAGAGAGGAAACAGGGATTAGGCTACTAATAACCTGTATAACTCATTAAGGAAACAACAGTTGCTAGAACTACTGTAATCCTATACAAAACGCGAAGTTGGTGATGGTAAAATAACTAAAATAAGGTAAAAGTAAAACAAAACAAACAAAAAAA